TATATATATATATATATATGTATATCTTGTCTTGTTATGCATCTATTGGGCAATGTATTAATTCAATTGACGGACATGTGATAATTGTATTAAATAATGCTCATGTGATGTTTAGCTTTTATTTAAATTTGATTTCGGCGATATCACTTTATTATTATTTTTATTTTTTGTCTTTCGGTCGTGGGAAAAAATTAGTTAATTGATATAACTTGGAAAAGAATAATGGATCTGATGGATAGATTAGAATAATTACGGTCGGAATGATCCGGGTTCGAGACTCGGTTTGGTGCATTTTTATTAATAATTTATGTTTATATTCATATATTGAGTGATTCATGATTTTTTTTGTTGTTGGGAAATCCGCTCGTTTAAGCGTTTTTATTGAAACTGATTAGAATTGTAAAGATTGGATTTTTTATTGAATGTTAACTGAGATTGGATCGGGACGTTGAGATTTTTTGCATTTCCGAGTCGATAATGAAGTTTTTCTTTTTATTTTTCTTTTTAGTTTATTGGGGAGGGACTTTGTTTAAGAAACGCGAATTGGCATAAAAACTTGCGAAACCTGCTTAAAATATCCTGATGAGTCATGAATATTGTATGTTAATGGAACTCTGTAAAAAATTTAATAGAGTTGCATTTATGGTTTTGTTGATCATTTAATTTTTTTTAGATAATTTGTATGTTAAAAAAAAAGATATTGTTTCTGATGAATTCAGGATTATAAATAATAACAATGAAGTATAAATAATTGATTTTTTTCTCAAAATTTAAAACATGACATTGAATTATTATTAAGATTATTATTTCTAAACTTCTAAAGAAAAAAAATTTTAAAATTATAATTTATTGAGGAAAACTTTAATTTCTTAAAATTTGGATAATTTTAAATTTATAGAGCGAAACAAGTTCAATAAAAGCTAAACGGCATACACAATTTTTCCACCTTCTGAAAAGATTGATAATGCCGCTTAGATTAACATAATTATTACATCAACACCAAATCAATAATAAATTCATAATATATATAATTAATTATTGTTATTTAATAGATAATTTAATATACTGTCAATGCCTAAGCTGGAATTATTTCGTTTATTAATAAGTGAATAAATGATCATAATTAATACAAACTTTGAAATTCAAACAATTATGTATAATTCAAATTATTTTGAATAAATCATTGACAATTTCAATTGCAAAACTTGAGACAATTCACAATAAAATTTTAATTGAAAAATTTCTAACTTATAATGCAAATAAAGTCAAGAAAAAACTCGTAACATTAAAAAATCAATGATCGATAAACAATTTAATTAATCTGATAGTAATAATAATAATAATAATAATATCAAATAAAAATTTTACGAGTTATAAAAACGTCGTTATAAAACAAGCTATGCGGGGAATATCCTGTACAATTAGTTCATCGATAATTACTGTAAAAAAAAATAATATAATCTAATATAATGTATCAGTTAATTCCATAATAATTGTATAATTGATTAAATAGAAAAAAAAAATATCCTGTTGGGTTCGAGAGATATTTATTGTGGATTTATAATTCTGCAACTGCAACTGCACTCGTTTACGCTGATATATTATAATAGTTTTATTATAAATCAACGGAACGTGAGAAGTATTTCATTCAAAATAAAAATCGTTAATTTTATTATATTGTATTTACTTTATTTATTCATTTATTGGCGAATAAATTCAATGAAATGTGAAGCAGTAAGAGTTGCGGATATCAATATTCAAGTATGATAATTATGAGGGCATTATATACAAATATGTGTTTATATATATATATATATATAGTTATATTTATATTTATTTATTAATGGGTATGAGTGAGATAAAGAGAGAGGCTGAAGAAGCAAAGCAGAATACCTTGGCATTGACCGCGCGACTATTATGTACTACTCGGAACGCGAGGAAGCACGTTTTATACTTGCATAATAGTCGTCTCTCATCCCGATCTTGTTCTATGTAGTTAATATAATCATCTTAACTAACAGGTTGCAGTATTATGTATTTTATGAGTAGAAATAATTCATAATTCTCTAGTACCTTTTTTTTTTTTCAAACTAATAATAATAATTTTTAAGTTGGTTATTAATATTATTGTTATAATTATTCCAGTTATCAAAAATGAATATTAAAAAAATTTTTACAAAATAAATAACTTCTTTAAATTTATATTTATAATAAATTATAATGATAAAAATAATTGTTTAAAAAAATTTAGATCAAACCTTCGCTTGTCTCTTTTCAATTACTTTTAACTATCGAAAATCAATCACTTAAAGATTGAAAGTTAATTGAGTAGTTATTCTTATTTCTTAAGACATAAAAAATTCAGAAACATTATTTTTAAATTCTTAACGATTTGTAAATTGTGAATAACCTTTTTTGGATAAATTTATTACTACACCCCTTGCGGGAAAATTTTTTTACAAATGCATATCTATACATTTATACCCGTCTAGATATATACACATTAATATATTTATATACGTGCAAGGTATAATAGTAAGTACATATAAGTGAAAAGTGTTGAAACTAGACCCAGACACACCCATGGGTCACGTTGGCCTTTCACTCTCACTGCGACACGATTCAATTTAAGCATTCGCGTTTCAAATCTTTTGATACATATTTTTAATTTTTAAAATTGTAATACCTTATACTGCATCAAAAATAAAAAAAATATTCTGCGAGTAAATTAATACAAAAACAAAAAATTACAGGTCTAGATTTTGAAATTTTCTGCATGTGTAATTTTTTTTTTGTTTTTATAATTATGTATTTTCAATAATTAGCGAACAGAAGATTGACATTATCGGAATAGCAATGAAATTTGAAAAAAAAAGTTTACGTAGAAATAGAAAGTTAAAATTTCTTAGTATATATAGATTTTATTAATTTAATGTGTATAATTAAGAGACACACGTTTCATGACTCTCGAGCATGTACAGGAAATAACGGAATTAAATATAACGTTTTTAAATTAACAATAAAATAGAACGAACTAAAAAAAATAAACTTTTTTCCTTGGATCAACAGAAACAGCTATGCCTGAGCTATGCTAAGCCGGCCAGCAATTGTTTCTTCGTACCATAATTACCGTAATTACCCTCGATTTTTATTCGAGATTCAATATTTAATCAATTAAGTTGAGATTGAAATACATTTAAATCTATTTTATCTTTCAACGCGTCATCGCGTAATAAAAAAAAAGTTACTTTGTTGTATTATGTAATTACATAATAAATAATATATAATATGTAATCTTACTACACAAAAAAAGAACAAAAAAAACGTACAACAATGCGGCTGTTATTTTAGTGAATGCGTTATTACATGTCAATACAAAAACATTCACTATCTAGAATTAAATCATATCGGACAATATTTGACCGTGAAAAGAGACTGGTAGCTGATCTACACTTCTCACTCTATATAACACCGATTTTCGAAATATTTGGCAATCTGTTACAATAAAACGTAATATATGTAGTGTGTAATACATAAATATAATAAAAAAAATAATTTTTTATTTAGTTAGTAATATCTTTTAGTTAAGAATGCAGAGTCAATGAACGGTCTGTTGTTATGAAAGATCGTGGTTTCAGCATTTTAAACTTTTCAATATTTCTACAAATTTATTATAATTTATGACCTGATCACTGAATAATTTTAATAAAATTCAAGTAAAAGTTTTTTGATAATAAATTAAATAATAATAATTAATATTTTTTGGATAAAATAAATAATATCGAGTTAAAATTTCATTGGGTGTGTTTTATGCTATGAATGACAGTCTTAGACGCTTAAAATCAATGTAGAATTCTACTTATAATAGTAATATTTGTCATTAATATAACGTGAAAATTCAAATTAAAAATATTTACACGCTAAATAGCGTTGTTATATCGTAATAACTATCAATATAAATACGCTCTTTTTTTTTCAATATCTCAGGATCTATAAATCCGGTTTTTATAAAAATTTGATGTATCCTTAAAATTGACACACAAAAAAATAAAATAAAATAATAATAAAAATTTCGTACCACGGAGATAATTGTGTTTTTATAAAGATCGGTTTTATAGAAAACGTTTTCTGTAAAAACGTCAATTAACCGTTTCTGTATCTGATAGTTACAGAGATTGAAAGTTAATTATTGATAAATATCTTCATAAAATAGCAAACCGTTAATGTTTTTCTTGTTATATGATTGTTGAATAACAAAGTAGGAAATTGGCTGTTAAAAAATTTAGATAAAAATATTTATAAATTAAAAATAACGCAACTGATAAAAAAATGTCATTAAAGTTTCAAAAAATAAATTTTCTGTTTTAGATGCCGTGGACAATTTTCAAAAAGTTACTATTATTCAATATAATAGCTATACTTGCAATAAACAATTACACCAGCGCAGCGACGAATCATCGCAAGCGTTACATTCAGCGGAATAACAACAACAACAACAACAACAACAATAATTTATCAACAAACCAGGACTATAACAACACTAAAAATATAAATACTAGCAATAACAATAACTCTAGTGAAATTGAAAGAAATGCTCCGAAGAATATCCAGGATATGTTAAAAGATGACAAAGAACTTCCTGATGATACTGCCAAGTGGGATAGTTTGCAGTCATCATCAACTGGCAACGGTAAAGAAAAAAAATTCACCCGGGATGATGACGACGATAAGAAAACTCTAGCGCAACAAGTGAAGGAAGGCAAGTACGGCCTAATACAAAATGAGTTGTCACCCAAGAAACCAAAGAGACCAGGAATAATAAGCTACTCATCAAACCCCGATATTCCAAGGGATAACGCCAAGAATTTCGGTGGTCTGGATAACGAAGAGATATGGCTCGCAGAGAATCACTTGTTGGTGATCAAAGGAGGCAATTACGATGACAATGAAAAAGGATCTAGAAAGAATTTGCGTGACTGGGAGCCGATTGATGACTACGAAGCACCTAAAAGACAAGTGCGAATTCCAGCTAATCCTAAGATACCTCCGCCATTTCCCATTCAACTGACTGATGGCGGGCCCATAAAAATAATCGGGCGAAACTCTAGTGAGAACGATGACAACGAGTCTTCTGCGCAATGGATCATCCCAGACGGTCTGGTTCCCTTCAATGGAACATATTTCATTCAAAATGAAAGCTCCAATGACACTAATTCCAACGATGAAAACGATGGACGGAAGACAAAGTCTAGTCCAACGTTTGCGGGAATTATTGGCCCGTTTTTTCCCGCGCTACCTCCTGGTGCCATCTTTGTGCCGCCACCTTCCAATCAAACTGATTATGATGAAGACGACCAGTCTATTTACTATCCACCGGTTTACAGTTTCAAGTATCAGTTAGATAATTCGACAGTAGTTCCACCTGGACCTTTAGTTCCTGGAATTATTTTGCCTCCTCCACCGGATTTCTTTGCTCCACTCGAAGAAAACAATGAAACAGTAAAAGATAAAGTGTGTCTCAAATGTAATGCGGAATCTGTTTCTACAACGGCTAAGTCTGAAAAGATAAATAAAATTAATAGAATGGAGAGTTCAACGCGTGAAACTCCAAAGGCTAAATTGAAATACTCACCTGTTAATAAAAATAAGCTGGATAATTACATTTCAATTCAATCAACGACGCCTAAGAGCAATGTGATTGAAGGGAGAACGGAAAAAGCTAAAGTGTCGACTTCAACGCCGAAAAAAATACGACCGATAGTCGCTTATTATTCTACGACACCCTACAAAAAATTGATAGAGAAAACAACACCCACGCCTGTTACAACAGAAAAGCTAAATAGTAATTTGAAAGCCTCGTATTACTACTACGAAGAAGAAAATGAAGTAACGACACCTGAGCCTATTAATTATCAAGACAATGAGGCGCGCTTGTCTTATTATAAATTGGTGGTTAAAGAATTGCCTCCTAAATCAATTTATCGTAAATTGAGGCCTAGTACGCCTTTACCGGTACTTTCTTCGACGATTTCGACACCGTCTAGCTACTACGACGTTGAAATAACGCCCTCGCAGCAAACTTTACAGGACTACCAGACAATAGAGCCGCCTGTCCAGTCATTAAAGCCACAGGTTAAAAATTCTAGAGTCCAAGGACAGAGAATGTTGAAAAGTAACTTTGAGACTACTAATCCTTACTATGATAAGCAGTTTATATCTTCATCACCGGCACCTGTTTATAATTTCAAGCCGATTATTACTTCTACACCTAGGTCGCGGGAGTTTTTGTCGACGACTAAGAAATATATAACCAATAAAGTCAAATCGAAGCCGATTTATCAGTACAGTTTTCAGGCTGCTAATTATGCGCATGATCCGGTTGTCTATCAGAATGACGGCGCTGATAATAATGACAGCAGTGAAGGTGATATTGATAATAATGACAATAATAATAAATATTACAACAAATGGCAAGTGCAAAAAGAGTTTAAAGAAGAAAAACCATTTTATAATAAATGGCAAGATGATTTGCGGTACAATGATGATAGATTTAGGGTTAGTACCAATAAATTCAACTATGCGTCGACGACACAAGCGCCTCTGTCGGTACTAAGACACAGAGGAACAACTGTTACTAGTAATAATTACTACACCAAACAAGAAGACCAGTATTTGGACGATGTCACAAAGGAATATTTCACAAACTTTGGAAGGAAAATAAAATATCGGCTTCCGAGTACCACGCCTATTTACAGTGGGAGTACGGAGGCTTATGAGAGCGTCACTCCGAGACCAAGATATCAGATAAAACCGGAATCTGAAGACAGAGACAAAAATTATTATGATAAAGAAATAAAAGAAAATGAGTACTACGACAATATTTACTCTCTGAAGAATGATATTAATGTTAATTATCAACGCCCATTGCCGACAATTAATCCAGACGCTGAGTTTATCGACGACTATGATTCCCAGGTAAAGATTAAAACTGGAGATAAATACAAGCAGTATCACTACCAGTCAAATTACGCGAGCTTGCTGCCTGTTGATAGTTATAATAATAATTATAACAATGACAATAGTTATAATCAGCGAGTGCCGAGTGATTTTATTTCGCTGGGGATCCGTGAGCAAAAATATTACGAGAGAATAAAGGGCCAGAAGCCTATTTCGTTGGCGGGAGATGTTAATGTTAATTACAATAATCCTCCGCCGATAAATCCAGATGCTGAGTTTATAAAAGTTCCGCATTCTCATTCTCATCCGCATCCGCAATCGTATTCCAATGCGAATTCCAATGTAAGGCAGAACGGTGAACTGAGAGACGATCACAGATCTTACTTTACATACAGATTACCAGGTGACGACGGTCATGTTTACTTTTTTACCCCTCATGTTATTAATAGACAGCGACAGGAGTTCGGAGGCTCTAGACTAAGGGGATTCAGAACCGCTAAGGCGGTCAAACATAATAAGTAGTTATAAATTATAAAAAGTAATATTAAGAAAAATTTAGAATTTTTTTTTTTTTTACATATTAGTCAAATGCCATAACTGATTTTAAAATTAGTAATCAAGTTTTTTTTTTTGTAAATAAATTTAAATTACTTACTTTGATTTTTTGTTAATATTAAGTCATATAAATGAAATACGTAATTTATAATTGTATAACTGAATGTTTGTGTATTGTCTGTGATTAATTTTAATAAATGTATATAAAATATGAAAATGTAAATGCTATTAATAATGAATAAATAAATCAATAATAAATAATAAAACTCACCGGTGTCGATCTCCTGAATTTGAGTGGGATCAGGTAGCGGATTATCATGAAGCCGCAGGTAGACTTCCATTGCACACTTGGCAGCTTTGAAGTAAAACGGATGGGAGCGTAAAATATCTTCTAGCCTCAGCAGTCCAACATATGATCTTAGAGTCATTTTACGCATACAGTAAGTATGGAAATCAAACTGATCTTCGATTATTTCCGAAAAGTGCTGTAAGATAATTGTTAGAATTAGTATTGAGGTAATTAAGATCTATTTAATGTATATATTACATAGAAAATTTTTCAAGTTATACTTACGCGATCGACTTCATGGCATTTCTTCAACGCCTCACCGTACTTTCCTAGGCGCTGATAGGCGCGAGCAGCTTCCGTCTGTATCCACATACATTGCATCTCGTTGAGATTTTCCATGGGCGGTACACCTTCGCGTGTAAATTTACTACAAGTTTCTTCAGCTTCTTTTACGAGATTAGCGCGTAGCATGTACTTGGCACATTTTGAATTAATATAACGGTCGGCAGTATCTAGACCTTGTGCTTCATCTAACCACTTGTAAGCATCTTGAACATTTCCACCGTGCTAAAAAATTAATAATTTCATTTTTGTATTTATAAAAAATTTTCATTATTATTTTGTAAGTTAAATAAGTAAATAAATAAAATAAAATACCTTATATATACGTCCTTTGGTAACAAAAAGTTCAATAAGTGTTGGTGTATGAGACAGTGCAGCATTTATTTCTTCAAATGCTTTCTCAGTCATACCAAGAAAATCGTAATGCTGAGCTAAATAATAGCAAGTCCACAGTAAAGCTGATGCTGGTTCACGTGGATTATCTATTTCAGCACTACTAAAATGACCATGATTATTTAGTGATACTTTGTACTCAAGTACCAATGATTGTATGACATCGATTTTTGATTGATCAGTATACAGCGAGCGTAGATTGACGAATAGTGGTGGTACACCTTTATGTAACCCTAAAAAATACAAAAAAAAATTAATCCGCTAAGTAAACAAATTTCAATAAAAATTAATTTCAAATCTTTTATAAGAAAAAATAATTTAATCTCCAATCAAGTATCAGAAAAAAAATTACCTCTCCGTAAATATTTATCAACTAATATTTTAAATTGTTCGCCAGTCGCGTAGTTGAGTTGAAGACGACGAGGTGCTAGAGCACGGGGATACAATTCTTCAAATCTTTGGAGCATTTTAAGAGTTTCTTCGGGCGTTGTATGCCGTTCAGCTTCCGCAAGTTTCGCGTAATACGTTGTATTCTCAGGATTTATGTTCAAAAGGTCCTTGTAGACTTGAGCAGCTTCCTCGTACTGCCGGAGCTCGAGACGTAGCTTACCGTAGGTCTCTTTTACGGTTATTTTGTCGCAAATCTGATCGCTGTACTTATCAAGATGCTTCAAGGCCTGCTCGCTGTCTCCTGATTCTTGGATCACCAGGTTTTGGTATAAAAGCAACTCGCTGTGCTCGTAATCGTAGCAGATCATCGGGGAGTCACGGAAGGTATCGAGAATCTTCAGTGCCGTCTCGTAGTCTTTTAATAAGTGATATGATATTGCGAATCCAATCCATGATGCTCGTTGGGTTGGCCTTAACATGAACAGCTGATATCTCGTGTCCTAAAACAGAATTATTTTTAATTTTTTAAGAACATTATCAACAGACTTTTTAGAGCAAAATTAAATTAAAAAAAAAAAAAAATTGTTAAATTAAAAATTAAACTGTACAAAAAAATTTACCTTATAACCATCCAAATCTCTCATTTGTATTTGTAATAGAGACAAATCCCTAAGAATCTGGATATTATCCTTGTCCCACTTGAGAGCGTTCCTGTAAGCCTTGATAGCTTCATCGTACTTTTTATCAGACCTCTGCAGAAGACCGTAAACGTGCCAGCAGACGTGAGACTGCAAATCATTTCTCAATCCGCGTCTAACATGATCATAAGCTTCTTCTTTTCTGCCAAGGCAGTTCAGCGTCAAGCCTTTCATCGCGAGCGTTTCTCCATGCTCGCTGAATTTTGGATTGGAGAGAATTTGTTTAGCGAACTTGAGTCCATTCTTGTACTGCTTATGCTCGTAGCACCTCTGCAATTGTAAAAACAAAATTGAAAAATAAAATTACGACTCACATAACAAACCTCAACATCAATGCTCTAAATCGCTCAATGCTAAATCTAATTCTGTGTAATTGTAAATATATAATTGAGGTTATGGTCAGAACGTTTTTTATCTCAGCATCTTCATCAACTGGACTGTATTAAATGTCCGATTTTAATTGCATCAAACAGCGTCGAATAATTTATTCAATCATTGAGAATGAATATGCTAAAACAATAACTATTTTTAAATAAATAATTGAAATAGAAATAAAATATTCATTAATAATTAATTGAAGGCCGGAGTTATGAGTGGGAGTATTAGTTGTGCTAAAAAATATAAGCATGAGAATAAAAATTATAAATAATTAAGTAATAATAATTTGTTTATAAATAATGAGTTAAAACTTACGAGAATTCGTTTAAATAACGCATTTTCTTTAGGTGGCAATGGATTGCTAGAGGGCATTTTTGTATAAATACAAAAAAATGATATTTAGGTATTATTAAATATATTATTGTTATTTAAAAGCTCCTTAATATGAAAAATTTTTTTTCACTACACACACAAAACCACCTCGTGGTCGACCGAAACACACACGGTCATCAAGAAATTTTTTAATACATATAGGTACAGTTATGTGTTATATGTTATATTATACTTATATTAATATATGTATATAACTATACATCCATAGATATACATATAGATATATCCATGCCTATAATATATATGCCAATATATGTAATCACGTGATCAAGGAGAGTGTTTCAGTATTCGGCTAAAGCGACGTTCACGAGTTACCGAGTTACGAGTTGCCGGAGGTGTTTCAGCGCACCAAACGCCGGAAGCACAGCGCGGCGGGAAAAATTTTAACTAAATTTTTTTTAATTTACTTGCAAATTACAAATCCACATCTGATAATTTTTAAATCGCAGAAAAAAAAAATTTCGATAATTAGTTATACATAAAGTTGATCGAGATTAAATTATCGTGTACAAAATGTTTTGGTTCTTTGAAAAAAAAAATGACAGTATTTAAAAGTAATTATCTTATTTAATAAATTATTTGCCGTGGGTGAAAGAAAAAATTTGTGTAAAAGTATTTCGCTGAAATGAGAAAACACTTCATAATTTTTGGGTTTTATTTAACAACTAAATTAGTCGTATGAAATCATAAAAAAAATTGCATTAATAGTTTTTATGATTTTTACATGTAAAATTCTCTAAATAAATTTTTTTTGATAATTTATTTGTTTCATAATTCATCAAAATTATCAAATGTCTCTCGATTTTATTGTTATATAAAAGTGACGGCTGATTAGTTATGATAAAATACAAAATATAAAGCATCTATAAAATTTTTTTAATTGAATAGTATTTTATTTTATTTATTCAGTTACATTTTGGGGCTGGTTTTTCAAACGATGTATTTTGTTAAAATGTAGTTTTATCTTATGTTAATTAACATATATACAGTCATTATGTAACTACAAAATATTTATTTATGACATAAAACATACTTAAAAATATAATAAATTTATTACTTAATATAATTTAAGGCCTTTTTAATAAAATTTTCATCCTCATAGTTGAAAATACGATGAATAAAATGAGGAAATACAAAATAATGACTTTTAAAACTGTTCATAAAAATATGTTGATTTTTAAGATGTAATCCTTTTAATTTATCTTCATTCCAGTTTTCTTTGCCAAAAAATCTAACAATATTTGTGAATTATTCCATTCATTCAATACATCAACCAGTGAAATACGAGCACTGTTACACTCCAAATTAGTTACCAAAATTTTAATAATATTATCAATATTCAAATGAAGTATCAATTGATACTCACAATAAGTTTGTAAGTTTTTAATCTGATACATATTTGCACAAGCTAATATTTGAAAAATCAGATCGATATCATCGCATGGAGCAATTTTGCCCGTGTACATGAATTCTAGTACTCCTTTGACAGTCGCCATATCAAATTCACCGAAGCGAAAACAATTCTCTTTGGCTTCTCTCATGTCCGTGTTAAACATTTTATTAAAAACACTGCTATGAAAACCTAGCACCAACTTATGAGCAGATAATTTCTCATCACTATCTTTAACGTTAATAGTGACATCACTGTACTGTGCTGAGAGAAAATATTTATTCACAAAAAATAATGAAGTTGTCGATAAAATGCAATGATTACATGAATCAAAGTCTATGGTATCTAAATTTATATGACATTTAATCCATACTATTTCAAGTGAAGTTGTATATCGCCACTCGAACGAGAATTCAACAAAATCATGATTTCTCCAGCATCTTATTTCGGAAGTCTTACTTGTACAAGATGAGGGTACAATTGTGATCTTAGCTGTATCAGGATTAAAAATACCTTTCTTATTTATTTTCACGCTAAATACTCGATCGGTGACCTTCATAAGTGACATTGAAAAAAATATTTTATCGTAATTCTCCAATGTAAAATCATCCGATGATAATAATTTGTACTTTTCAATATAGAGGTGTTCTGCAAGTTCCATTCATAATTGACATTATAACCTTCAGATCTCTCCTTACTCATCGTGACACGTTGCTTTATTCGTTCTATCATCTATATATTTATATACTTTCCTAGTACGTTGTTCCAGGCAATTTTTTTTAAATGTAAAATGTGAGCATTAAAAAATTTCCTGAAAAATTTTTAATCGATATGTAAATAATAGTTACAAGATGTAAACGTGCATGGGTGCCAGAAACTCCACTCAAATTATTTTCATTCGAAAATACAAAATCTACAAAGTCATAAATATCCGAAATGAAAACTATTCGAAATTAACAATATTTAAAGTTAATTATAGACAAAAGAATAAAATGAAACAGATGAAAATTTATTAATGAAATCTAGTCGAAATAATACTCGTCAAAGAGCGATCTATACGAACGATAAATTGTTCGAAAGTTTATGGTAACTTACCATGAACTTTCGAACAATTTATCATTCGTATAGATCGCTCTTTGACTAGAGTTGTTTCGACTAGATTTCATTACTAAATTTTCGCCTGTTTCATTTTATTCTTTTGTCTATAATTAACTTTAAATATTGTTAATTTCGAATAGTTTTCATTTCGGATATTTATGACTTTGTAGATTTTGTATTTTCGAATGAAAATAATTTGAGTGGAGTTTCTGGCACCCACGTACATTATAAAATATAAATATGAAATATCCATACCTAATATTTAACAAAAGTTTAATGATATTAATGTCCTTAGATTTCGAGGTAAATTATGTTTTTACTTTTATAGGTTATTTTGAAGCTGACAACACACGCAAATCAAAAATTTTTCGTGAAGTGTATATAATTTGTACAGTTGGATTAGCGAGTCTTTGCGCTTCGAGTATTTTCGGTTTTTGCCTTCACCATATAATTTTTATAGCTGACACATGCGTATCGATAGTAAAAACAAATTGAATGTAAGTATCCTTACGCTAACCATATGCACTAAAATTTTTTAAGCACATGTTTGAGATGATGGGAGCAAAAACCAAAAATACCCGAAGCACAAAGACTCGCTAATCCGAACTATATACGTAATGTAAAATGTAACCTAAGACCACACGAACAGTATCGTTCGCGAATCTTCGGTTGATGATTAACACAAAGCGACTATATCTTCCCACTATAGTTTTTGAACATTATTTCTTTCTATTCTGCTTACATTCTTGCTCAAAGAATTTTCAATTATTTTACATTAAATTGAAAAGTGCTTCAATTAACGTTATTTAATAGTTTTAAAATTCGTATCTATTAATTTGATAAAAATTTATTATTCTAATAATGTTTACAAAATACATTTAAAACGGTTTGTATTATCAATTTTCAAATAACTTATCAATAAAATTACTGATTCATAACTTTGTAATATAAATAATAAACAATTATTGCCATAATTTTAAGTTTGTAATTTATGAAAATGGAAAGATTACAAAGATTAATGAAAAAGGTTTTCTTTTTATGTCACGGTTTTCTAAATACCGTGACATAATTTGCTTTCATAAGTATATTTTTCGTAGAGGATCATATCTGTTGGGTTGGGAATAAATCCTCCGTTCTGAAAAAAAAAAAAAAATAAATATTTAATATAAATTTTTTTCACAATTTTATCGTTAAAAATAAACAAATAAAATTTGTTTCAAACGTAATAAAATATTTTTAATTTATTGAAATTTAATTAATCAATTGTTTTTAGTCAAAATTTTTTGGGGTGCGGTCAACCAGTCAGATCGAAAGCATTCCGAATTTATCAAAACTTTAGAAAATTAAAAATTCCGCTACATTCAAAGTTTATAATATACATTAACTTAAATAAAATACTAGCCGAAAAAAAAATTTGTAAATTATATAACATCGAGCTATCGAATATAGGTAAACATGAATCTTATATTCCCCAAGAGTTAAAATTAATTTAATTTCAAAAAAAGTTTGTGCCGACGTATATTCATCCGAATACTCATCCATACACAGAAAGAAAGGTTCACTTGAACCAAGAAAATATTTTTCTTCCGAATTATTTTCTTGAGTGAAACAAATTTTTTTTTTTGACACAAGAAATTTCACTTATTCCAACAAAATTAATTCCTTGCTTCAAAAAATACGTATCTTGATCCAAGACAATTTATTTAAGTCAAGAAAATTTTTCTTGTTTTGAGAAAATTTCTCTTTTGCTCCAAAAAATTAAGTTTTTGACAGAAGTAAATTTTCTTGTCTTGAGAAAATTTTTCTCTTGCTCCAAAAAATTAAATATCTTGATGTAAATTTCATTAATATTTTATTAACTAACATGTCAAATGGGAAGATCAAGTAATATTGAATCATTTCTTTTCATTCAATATGTATAATTGCGCTCTAAAATAGTCTAAAATGGGTATCAAATATTCAAGAGAAAAATTTTCTCAAGGTAAGAAAATTTTTTTCTCAGCTGAAGTAGGTGGCGCTGCTTCCCCAAAGTATCTAAAAATCTTGATCGAATATAAAAAGTTATTGTATCGAGTATTTATGATAATTTGAATTAAGAAAAAATTACTTCCACCAAGAATAAAATTTCAAGAAAAATTTTTACTTCGGCCAAGACAACTTCGGTCTTCCTTCGGGCAGCACCCGAAAATTTACTTGAGCCAAGAATTTTGTTCTCCAGTCAAGAAATTTTTCTTTCTGTGTATGAATGATGATTCGATCGAAAATTACTCATCCAAATAACTATATATTCACATTTTTCGGCTAAATGAGTGTTCGTCTGTTCATTTATTTTGGCGTAAAAATTTTCGTTGTTATGTTTTTTAATTTATTGAGACTTTGTGACTTTGAAAGATTTCATTAATATAGCTTTAGTTTTTTCTTTATTCAAGTTTATATTTTTCAGAATTTGAAAATTTGTCAAATTATTTATATTACTTTAAATTATATTTTATATTTACTTTCTAAGTCCTAGTAATTTATTAATTCGGAATGTTATCAATCTGACTATTTGACTGCAACCCAATTTTTTCATTTAATTTTTAAATAACTTAAAATATTAAATTAATATCAAAAGACAAATTACCTTCCCTCTCTGTACATATTGTTCATAAATACTGACACTAGTATCATCAACCTTCGGCAGCTTGAAACTCTCAGTTTTCTTCCTGCTCAAATTAACAATATCCGGAAAAGTAACTTGTTGAACCATTTTTGCTCTCTGAATACTCGAAGTATGTTCCTTTACCCCCGCAGCGTTGCGACCGATCATAACAAACCGCTTGTACAAAACCAGATCACTGCGTCGCGGATTTTCTAATTCCACACCATAAACTTCTTTCATGGCAGGAAAGAGCGCTTCGAAGCTTACTGAGCTAGCATTGGTTTCCCTAGAGTCTCTGTTTGACAGATCACTTCTTTGGTGACGAACAACCACCAGATCATCATCTTCATCGTCAGAGCTAGTGTCGACGCTAGAACTGGCACTGGAAGCGGTGCTACTGGTGCTACTTTGTCCCGTCATTGAGGGATTTTTGATATTACCATTCCGCTTGTTTCCCGTTTCTTCTCTTCGTCTTCCAGGTCGAACTCGAACTGCAAAAGGGCTGTAATTGGTAGTGAAATGTGGCATAAAGTCTCTTATCGAGTGGCTTATTTGGTACGCGTACATTTCTGACAGCGGGACTAATTCATATAGTCGATGATAGTCTGAGTACACGTCAATCATTTCTTCTTGCGTACTATCCACCTAGATTAAAAGCATAAAATTTTAAATTTATCAATTAAACACTAATAATATACATTTTTTCATTAATGTAAATAAATAACAGAACTTAAATAAATTATCAAATCTCTAACCTGAACCATTTCCCAGCAAGTCTTCTCAATATCATCATAAGCATACGGCAAACACCTGATGGTATTTTTATCCCACCACTGCGTCAGCAGCTTCGTTCTTCTAAAAACTGGCGTATGATGTAAGTAATAATCTGTCAACAGCTCCCACAAAGGCACACGACCTTCTTCAGGAGTAAACAATCCCAAGAACAAGTTGATCGTGTGCTGCTTCTCCTGATCGCTGAACGTATTACTGTAATACCTGCTCAGCGTCTGCATGATGTCATTTCCTTGACTAGTCCACGGCGCTGTTTTCCGGTATGTCTTAATCCTATGGACTAACTGGGAACCTCCGTACTGCAGCGCTAGCGTATCACCATGATCTTCATACAACTCTTCCAACATTCTGACGCAATCAGAATCAAACTCAAGTTTTGCCGAGTCCAAAACTCCCAGCGCGCATAACTGATACCCTAATGCGCACTTTCCAATCGCGAATTGCGCAGTGTTGGTTCTATCCAAACAATCAACGCAGTTTGTGCGAATAATTCCTGTCTGCAACGTTCCTTTTTTTATAAACGACTCAGTTATTTTGTCATATCCTTCTTCATTTAATTTACAATTTCTTACTACCGGTGTATTATCCAGGAATAATTTTTTCTGGCTATAATACGGCACTTGCGATTGAAAAATTCCAGTTTTGATCACAGCATTATTCGCAATATTTGCCAACCGGCTCATAACCTTGGCCTCCTTACCCTTGTTCATGCGCGCCATGTCGAAACTCACGTATTGCAGTTGATTTTCAGGAGCTAAGAATTGGTTCAAATATTTTACGGCAGATGTTAGCTCGTCGCTCAAAGTGCTCTCATGTTTCTTCTTTTCTCGTTTCTTCACCAAGCTCAGAATAATTGTGGGTGTTCCATAGCGCTGGAGAAGTTGATTAAAATGCGCACCTGCTATTTCATAAAATGGATCCGCAAGATCACACGAAATAGTGGGTTTAGGAACCATTTTGCTGATGTCCTGGCTCCAGTTTCCTGGAACGGAGCCCCGCATTTGAACAAACGAAGTGAACCTTCCGCTGTGAAGCGAACTTACCGCAGAATCGTAAACTATTTGTTCTGTTTCGACTTCATTAGCGACATCTCCAGTGGAATTCGCGCCTCTTTTCAGGAACCGCGTTCCTGCGTATTTGTTACTACGACGTGCGATTAAAGTTATGTAAATGGATTTACCAAATATGCAGACATTGGATTGGCCGATGAACCCGTGGGTTATGTAGAGGATCCAATCACGGTGCAGATCACGTTCCACGGGATTCAACAAGTGATTGTTCCACACGAATCTGCGATTTGGGTTGCTACGCACACCGTAGTCAATTATTTTCTTGTTTTTGAAGGTCATTTGCGTCCACATGTTTATCAATTTTTCATCCGGATTGTCTTCATCTTGAGAGTCGTTTATGTCGGTGTTATTATTGTTGTTATTGAAGATGTGCTTCGGTGGAGCGAGATTATTTTGAAGTGTATGGGTCAAATCGTAGGAGTAGCTGAAGTAAAAGTTGCTGCTCAGATCGATGCTTTGGAACATCTTGACGTAGCGCTGTTCATCAGGATGAAAAATTCTAACTGTGTCATTGGGAATGTAGATCATTGATGTGTCCTCGATTTTGTAAATTGTGTGATGACCAATCACTGCTACTCGGCGACGCTTTGTTACAAGGATTATGTAATAGCCTTCTAGAAATCTTACAAAACCTAAAAAATTCATGATTTGATAGTTTTTTTTTTTTAATTAATTTATTCTTTTTTTATATTACATACTGAGTACACAAGACATTTTTCTATGTAACATGTGTTGTGTACCCAAGGTGATGATTGAAATTAGTACCTAGTAATCGTAAAATTCAGGAATTAATATCTAAGTGATAAAAAGAAAAAATATGGCTTTGTAAGTTATGAAAAGGAAAGAAATATAGATAAAAGAAGTATGGAAATAAAATAATAAAATAAAATCAAAGCTACAAAGCCTTACCAACAATACCAAAAGCAGATATTAACCGCGGAAAACAATCCTTATTCCAAGTTGATTTCCATGAAAAATTTGTTTTAGTCGGTTTATGATAGATTAAATTATATTGCTGTTTTTTATCTACCATGCAACATTTTTTATTGTCAAAATAAATAATTAATGTATTTTATTATTTTTAAAAGTATTATTAAATAAAATTTCTTCATGCTATCACTATATCTTAGGCTGTATAAGTAAACTGAGTAATTAATTCATTATATAATTAACCTACCGACAATGCCAAAAGCAGATACAATACGAGCCACACCACTCGCTTTATTTCTCTGGCCAATTAATTTGCTATTGCCACTATTATTACTGCTGCGATTCCCGATATCGATCATGGTGACCAGATCAGCTATTTCATCTTGGGTGTATTCCATTTTATCATCCACAACCACCAGGTCTCGTGGTTCCATTCGGTCTATTTTCAAAACTCGGAATCGAGTTAAATTATTATTCGAACCCATCAAGTAAAACCTCTGCAAAAAAAAAGTTTGTTAATTATTTATCAAAAATTAACATTGATGAGGATAACTTTACATTGTAGTAATTTTATATCAAGAACTTATTCGCTTAAATTTTTGGCTAATTTGTAATAAAAATTTTTGTTAAACGTTTTTTATAAAATAAATTAATTTTTAATTATTTTAATAATTAATATTACTTACAGATTTAGTTTCATAAAGTGCAATTTTTTGTATTGACGAAATCATCGGATGAAAAATAATATTTGGCTCACTCGATTCCATTTTTATTGATAAAATTTATTATCTATTCTTTAAATATTATTAATGAAGATATCACAGTAAACTAATAAATAGACTAAGATTATAAACATTTACAAAATTATACAATTAGCATCAGACAGCTGTTTGTTCTGTTTTGCGGCTGTCAATTGTAAACAAACGTCAACTCTACTGAGGATGGCAATCAAGAAATATCACTACATTGCAGACGGTAATGAAGAAATTATAAAAATATATATGGTAAGGAGGATTGCTATCAGGGAAATTGCGCTTTATTATGCGTATAATCAGCCGGGTTTTAAAAATTTAAAAATTTTTATAAGGATAGAGCATAATAAATGTATTTTCAAAAATCTTATGTTTCTAATTACCTCAGATTGAAAGAACGAATTCAAAAATATTAGAAATAACGAAATTTGAATTCATTGCAATACTTCTGAAGATTTTCAATATATAATATTGAGATACTTTTAAATTCCTTCTCTTATATATGAAGATTTTAAATTGTCAAAATCGTTTTCAATTATTTTTTCTAACCAGGGACATCTTCTGAAAAAATGCTATAAAAATAAAACAGAAAAAAATAACGCATATCATAAGGTGGTCTTGAGTTTATGTGAAAATCTTGTAGAAACACAAACTTTCAATTCTGGACAATTTTCAATTTTATTGTTCATAAATACCTTATTCGGACTATCATGAACATTTTTCCTGATAAAAACAGCTAAACTTCGGTTAAGCCATTTTATGCGCTTAAGGGGGAACACCACTGTGACGATCGAAAAAAAGAGGTGATTTTCGGGAATTTTTTTTGACAGGGAAATGAAGGAATTTGGGGATCGGATTTTTTTTATTTTATTAAGGATACATTAAAGATGATTACGCTAAATTTTTATTAAAAAATATTTAATTATTACAAAGTTATTAACAATCTCGTAGAGCA